CATGCTAGGACCAAGGCGTGTGGTTAGGAAGCTGTAGGTCAAAAGAATGTGATCATAATTAACATAATTAACCATGAAACCAGGACATGTTTGGATCCCAACCTATTGCTATAGTGTCAACCCTGGCTCACAGCGACCCCCATGTGTGTCAGACTAGGATTGCGTTCCACAGAGTTTTCATGCGATGATTTGTTGGGAAAGTGTGTCTGGGCAGACTGGATATTCTGATCTTGTGGTTAGCAGTCTAATGTGTTAATCATTTGCACCACTCGAAGAATATGCTGGACTATGGTGGAGTTGGGTTGAGGAGCAGAGAAATCATGTAAAAAGAGAGCCACTTTGCAGTCCCCATGGGGAAGATGCCTTCCAAGCCTGGGATAGTAATTTAGAAGCATGTGTATATTCTCTCTAAGCATCGCCTTTACTATTCAGTGAACACAGAAATAAATCTAGCTTGCAAATCCCACTTAATTGTTTGCATATGTTCTTCCAGTGCTCCATTTATGGTAATACACGGTACCAGAAGGCTCTTCACAATGCCAATTGGTAAACATACAGAGTATAAGGGCTTGCATAGAAGCTAACTAAAATAAACCCACCAATTATTGTTCTAGGACTAACAACCTAAGTTCAGTAGGAACAGCCTAGAATTTGTAAGATAATGATGGAAATGTCTAAAACATTAAAGCTTTCCCTTCTAGTCATACTCTATTTCTAAAAAGCAAGTGTCCTCTGCAGTGGATCTATGGACATTTGGGGCAATATAATTCTTACTGTGTGTGTGAGGAGGGGTCTTTCCTGTGCATCTTTGTCTGGTATCTACCTAATAAGATACCAGGAGCACCCTCTCCCTCAGCTGTAACATTCAGAGATGTCTCCCGACATTGCTAAATGTCACACGGGGCAAATGAAATCGCCATCATTTGAGAAGCACTGGGATGGAGTGGGCTGACCTGGGTAGTGATTTTGAACAGAAGTGGGCAGAGAGGATCTGAGCACCCTCCGGATAGAGCAGAGCATTAGGGACTCCTCTTTGTGTAAAGGACGTTGGATACAGGTGAAAGCAACCATCCCCAAATTATCATTACCCCAAACAGCCAGACATGTTAAAACAAAATCCTGGGAAAACCGAGAGCGAGAAGATGGACTGACGGACTCTGTGAGCAATGAACCAATCTTAAGATACCCCTGCCTTTCTACAGGTTGTAAACAACTCTACTTAAATGCGGACTGCCACAACCTGCAGCTATAGGCACCACCACCAGCTATGCCATTTCTTAACAAGAAGTTGGGGCTGGAACCAGAAAGTTATTTCTGAAAACGCAGCCACTGAAAAGCCTGAGGAACAGTTGTACTCTGATATACTTTGGGTCTTCGTGGGCTGGAATCAACTTGAGGGAAACTGATCATCTGGTCATTCCCACCGCTGGAAGAGTTTTTGTTTTGTTTTATTCTTACACATATGCAAGGCTTCTCTGCGTAATAGGCACTTGTAATCCTTCCAGAATCCATTCCATGCATATTTTAGCATGCAATTCTCCCTCTTAAGTGTTTATCGTGAACACACACACACACACACACACAAGCATTTTCAAGTGTTCTCGGTGGAAATCAGATAGTTCATTATCATGCTTGATAGCTTCCCCTCTAAGCATTAGCCCTACTGGCTTGGCTCTGTTGTGCTTGAGAATGCCCCTCTGGCACCCCTTTGGCAGTTGCTTAAGCTAATGCCCAGGAGGCTTTTATTCTTGAGAGAAAACTGCCTCCTGCACCCAGAGTTCCACTAGAGCTAGTTGCCATGGTTTCCATTGTCAACCCAGACACCAAGACTTCACACCCATCCCAAGAGAGACCCTAGGAGGGAATTAATGATGGCGGTGCATTTCACAGCTAAATGCTAAAATAGAAATCTGTGGAGTTTTTTCTCTGATGTGTGAATCCAATGCACTGTGTTGAATTAAAGTTTTGATGAGTGGACCAATTCATGAAATCCTTCCAAACCAAAGCACCCCAGAACCTGCCTTCACACAAGTTTCGAAAGGCATGCTGATTCGTGGCCTCCTAATTACCTCTACAGGATGTTAGAGGCTAGGATGCTTAGAGGAGGTGCTTTAGAATATTATGAAGAGAAGTAGC